TTCCACTTGCTTGGTTTTCAGTGTTTCGATGTCTTTACTCATGGTGTTGATGTCCTTACCCATGTTGTTGAGCCTCCTCAAGATCATGGCTCTGAACTCGACCTCTGATAATTTGCTTAACTGCACCTCATTTATCTCATCTTTGATAGAGTTCTCTTGTTCTTTCATTTGGGATTTGTTTCTTTGTTTCACCATTTTGACTATCTCAGTGGGTTTTGGAGTCTGCCAAATTTTCCCTGTGGGTGTTAGTGTTCTGCTGTTTGTGGCTTCCTCTACTGGGTTTGGATGAGTGTGGGCGGGCCCACGTTAAACACCACAGTCAAGTCTTACTTTCCTGTGTAGATTTGCAAGCCCAGGAATGGTTCAGTTAGCCTCTAACTTTTTGCCTGGAGGTTATTAGTATCAGTTACCCAGGGCCTTGAAATGTAGTCCTGGTGTTCTGCTAAGGAGGATTTCCCGAGGGTGGGATAGATGCTGGTTGTTAATGAGCCTCAGTTTGCATTTTTTTTTGCCTCTCCTGGAAGGGGCTGAATCTCCGAGGGAGGGGCTGCTGCTTTTCCCCACACCTCTGGGAAAAGGAGCAAGCTGGCCACTGGCCTTTGTGGCCGCGACTCAGCAAGAACTCTGTGTGCCCTCCAAATCCCAGGTGTCCCCACAGAGTTCCAGTCCAGTCTTCCCTCCCTCTGCTGGAGCCTCAGATGAGTGGCTGTAGCCAATCCAGTGCTCTGTTCCGGCCCTCTGGGCTGTGAAGCAGGCTTGGTATTTTCTCCCTGAGGGCACTGCTCACAGCTAAGACCGATGCTGTCCATGGGCTCCCAGCCCGCCACCTCTCACACCTCTGCAGATCCTACCAGTGTCCCTGGTTATATGGTCCTGTCCTGCTGCTTTTCTGTTGCTTTTTTCTGATGATTTGTCTTTATTTTAGTTGTAATTCCCGTTTGGTCCTGGGAGATCGTCTGTATAGCTTCCATTCACTCCGCCTCCATTTTCCCACCCCAGAATGCTTTTTTAATGATGATGATTTGAAAGGGAGCCTCAAGCATCCTTAGAAAGAAAATAACAGAAAATGTACGTGGATAAAGATTAATGCACATCATGTGAATTACGCTAATAAGAATGTTACTGTTGATGTGTAAGTATGTCATGATGAGCTGTGTCTTATATGGGACATAGAACACCTCCTTTCATAGAGAAGATCGTTTTGGACTGAAGCTCAGTCACCAAGTGCAATTGCCAACTCAGAATATAAAGGATCATTATTGAGTTCTTCTATTCAGAAGGTGGCATTTTATTTTTATTTCTTTCCCCAAACAAACAAAAAAAACCCAAACCATGTAGATTATGTTCATAATGTCAACACTTGGTCCCCCAGCAAGTCCAGATCAGAAGTTTCACTAAATTAATCTTGTAACCGTTGGTTTAGTTTTGAAGGATGTTGTAGTCAGGCACTATTCTCTGGAAGTTCTAACCAGTTTCCTCCTTTGACCCAACCAAGGACTTTGCTTTCTTAGAATCTTTTTCAAGTCTCTTTGCAAATATAAATAGAAATTTTGATTTCTTTAACTACTGAGCCCTTGTTTCATTTTTATGCATGATTCTGGCTGAGAAAAAGCAACTGGATGTTTTCTTGTATTGCATAATTTGGCCACATTGAATTTTAGAGTGATTACAGGATCTTTAATAGCTGTGGTTACTGTTATCATTAATGGGGGACAGGAAGACAAGTTTCAGTCAAATATCATTAAGATTCAAGAACATTAGAGAAAAATCCTTTATGTCACTGTGACCAGGTCATCTTTATAGAATCCAAAGGCCAGAAATACTAAGGAAGTACTACTTCTCCAAGTAAAGAAAGCTTTTCTAAGGGTAATCAGGAAAATACAGTTATTGTAGAATACATAATTGGTGGGAAAAGTACATATCACTATAAAATAAGGCAGTGTGATGTGTCAGAAGGCTGGAAGCAGGACTGTTCTTTGTTTAATAGTCAGCAGGTTTGTTTGAGGGAGGTCCAAAGGGCAGCAGAATATCTTTTGTAAACAGGCTAGAGTGCTTCTTTTTTTTTTTTTTTTGCGTGCCCCTAGCGGGAACCAAACCCCAGACTCTGGTCTGCAGGCTGACATTTCAGCCACTGAGCCAAACTGGCCAGGGCCAGGCTAGAGTGTTTCTAATAGGAATTCTTTTAATATTGGAGTAAATAAAATATTCAAAATCATTGTGATATTATGGATAAATTGAGTACATCTGTGTTTGATCAGTAAAATAAGCTCTTGAGTTTTTAGTTTGTCCTATTAGATTAAAGACCAATTACATTAATTCATATATATCATAAATAAAAGATATATAGTAAAAGGCCTTTCTGTAAATCTTCATCATAAAGACATGATTATTTCTGCCTCAAAGTATAGTTCTAAAGCCGAAATAAGATAATGCATGCAAAAAGGCACCTTGCAAATCAATGGTACATTGTTTTGTTTTGTGTTTTGTTCCCAGACAGTTCTATTTGGGGGCCTGTAGGGATTGAGCCATGCCCAGATGGCCCAGAGGGCTGGGTGTGCTTTGAAATAAACTCATCTTTTGTTTATCTGACTACTTGCCTATGTTCTAAGCAACCTATCCGAGTTGTTTTGTACATTTATTCTACATTAATCTAGAAAGGAAACCAGAATAGTTATCCAGCCAGCATTTCACAGGACTTAATTTCACCAAGAGTAGAAACCACAGTTTAATTATTGTAATTTGTAAGTGTTGGTTTCAGTATGACTGTCCTCAGAACATGGTTATGAGAATTGTTCTATTCTGAGGTATTTGTAAGGTAGTCAGAATGAAGTGTTACAAGTGTTACTTTTCTAGTGTTGTTCAAATTTTAGATGAACCAAATCTCATTTTAAGGGTGAAAATAAACTGAGATCCACATTAAGCCATTTTTTCGTTTGGGTAAAGAATAGTTTAACCCATAAATCAAAAAGATACTTTATGGCAGATTGTGTGTGTGTGTGTGTGTGTGTGTGTGTGTGCGTGCGTGTGTGTGTTTTAATTAATGCTTCGGGGCATGAACACTGAGACTAAAAAGTAGAGGTGGCTACTGTACACATCATCTGAGGTATGTTTAACTTGCATTGTCAGTTGTCCAGGATTTGACATTTTATGGTGAAATGTTGAAGTATAAATCTTAAGCTCAACAATATGAAAATAATTAAACCAACTGGGAATACAAGTAGTGACTGAAACCATCATTGATCTCTGTTCTCATGTGGCTTTTCCAAGTCCTATTGTGAATTAAGATAAGATCTGCATGTAGGGCAAATGACATTTTTGGAAGTTAAATGTGATTTGCTTTCAGACTCATGTTGTCTAAACATTTAAGTTAAAACATATAGCCTGGCCCTGGCCGGTTTGGCTCAGCGGTTAGAGCGTCTGCCTGCGGTCCGGAGAGACCCGGGTTCGGTTCCCGCTAAGGGCACGTACCTCGGTTGCAGTTTGTCCCCGGCCCTGGTTGGTTGTGCGGGTGGCAGCCACTCGATGTGTCCCTTTCACATCGATGTTTCCCTCTCTCTCTCTTCCTCTCTCTCCCTCCCACTCTGTCTGTACAAAAAATGGAAAAATGTCCTCGGGTGAGGATAAAAAAAAAAAACAAAAAAACATATAGCCTGAAAATCCACTAATACATGCTCTTATCAAGGAATTTAAGAATTGTCCTTATGCAGGAGATGGTCCCAGAAGTCTGTCTCATTTTGGACTTCCTTTTTGTTGCTGTCCTCTGGGTGCACTAAGGACCGTGGTAGAAACTTGCTGGGTAACAGCTCCGTGTGTCAGGGAGTCCTTGGTGTTTTAATGCCCGAGTACAGCCTGCGTTCACCATAGGAGTCATGTTGTGGAAGCCGCAGTTGGTCAGGGGGCATTGCTTCTCTGACCTCCCTGGTTTTGAGTGATCTTCGATATCAGATTAAGCAGGGTTAAAGCAGAATGATACAGTCAAGAAAGTTTCCTTAGAACTCAGAGAGCTTAGCCTCTAGGAGGGCCCTGGGAAGATGAAGGAGACAAGCGTCCGATGCTCCAAGAAGCCTTTTGCACCACGACCATGTGAGCAGGAGAGGGTGATGCTGCAGGCAGGTCATTATGATGCATTCTCAGCACAGTGCAGGGTGGACCTGGGGGCCATGGTATTTGAAGGCTCTGGTGGATCACTAAGTATTTATAGGGCTCGTTAATATTTTCCCACCTATTAGAGATCCAAGGTCATTAGAGTTTCAAACATTATATCTCTGATCTAAAGGGAATTATGGTTGAGATTTCATGGATTTTTCTTGACAGAAAGAACTAAAATTTAAATGTAGCTGTATATAAGCTTCCCATTTAAGGTATTCTTATCAGTAAATTGAATCCTGTGTGCTGAAATGCATGACACAGGAATCTGTCTTCACCATGAATCTTCCAGTGATCCCTCGCCATCACCTGCACCGTCAGCTACCCCGCCCTCACAGGCAGCTCACCACGGGCGTGCGCTCATGGTCTCTCCTCCTGCCTTTTATTGACTGTGGAAGGAAGACTTGGAGAAAGAAGAGGCATACCAACCACTCCTCATACTAACCCAAGCCTCCTTTGTGTTTAGTGCTAAACTGCGTATTATTTTATACCTCTAGTGTCATGACGGGGTAATTCTGTTTGATACAATGGACAGGGCCACATTTTAGTGGAGGAGGGATTCTGATTTACTCTTACAGGTAGAATTGTTTTCTGGGCTTCAGTGCCCAGTATTTTCTGCAAGAGATAGATGAAAATGGTAAATAAATGTTGACATTCCTGAAAACATGTGAGGGAAAAAATATGAATTTTAGGAAATATTATCCTTAGCATGGATTAATTGATAATAGATAAAACATGAGTCTATTATGTCACTGAATTTTTTATAAGGACATGAAGCTAAAGGCTTGCTTTTGTGATAATGTCAGAGTTTTTTTCTGTATAATTGTTGTGTTGGTGTTTTTTGTTTGTTTTAGCTCAAAGCATTCAGTAAACCAGGGTTCCAAGGTGAATGTGTAGATTTTACAAAAGGAATTTCTGATATGACTTCCTTCACTCCACGTTCTTTCAAAGTTCTTCGGGGTTGGTAAGTATGCTTATTGAGTGTTCTCTACTATTGTTTAAAATTAATTTCTTTCAAATTTACAGAGAGTTGACCTGTATTATTTTTTGCTTGCATAGTAAAATTTAAAAAATGTTTTTATTCATTAACTGCTAATTAGCTTATATTAACTTTTCCAACTTGTATTATGAGTCATTGTGTAATATACTGATTAGCCCACTTTGGGTGCATTTGGGTGATTATTTTTCTTACTATCACATTATTTTCTAAATATTATGAATGTTTATATTATATGTTTATTGTATAGCATATTAGAATGCTATAAAATTAGTGTTTTTGTTTAGATAAGATATTCCTAAATTTTAAAAAATCTTTTTGTTTGTTTAGAGCATTTATCATCCCACATCCTCATGTCACTGATGCGGATCACTAGTTCAGAGCTAGGTTTCCCCGGGATCACACCCCAGTCAGACCCAGCATGGCTTGGTCATTTCTTATTAAATCCTATATTCCAGCCCTGGCCAGTTTGGCTCAGCGGTTAGAGCGTCGGCCTGCGGTCTGGAGAGACCCAGGTTCGGTTCCCGCTAAGGGCGCGTACTTCGGTTGCAGTTTGTCCCCGGCCCTGGTTGGTTGTGCGGGTGGCAGCCACTCGATGTGTCCCTTCACGTCGATGTTTCTCTCTCTCCCTCCCTTCCTCTCCCTCCCTCCCACTCTATCTGTACAAAAAATGGGAAAATGTCCTCGGGTGAGGATAAAAAAAATAAAATAAAAAATAAAAAAAATAAATAAATCCTATATTCCAGCTGCAGCAACATACTGGATCTTTCTCACAAGTATATAAAACCGTATATAATTTCTCAAAGCTAATTTTGTGTGTGTGTGTGTGTGTGTGTGTATGTATTCTCTATGTATTGATTTTTTGTTGTAAAATATATGTAACATGAAATTTACCATTTAATTATTTTAAGTATATAGTTCAGTGGCATATCTACCTAATAACTCATCAAAGTCTCTTCATTTGTTCTCCAAGATACCTTTGATTCATCAGTTCTCTCCTGAACCAGTGGAGACTAGGGTCTTTTATTTTCCATTTGTGGAACTTTAGTCTCCTAATCAACCCCACTCCAGTATAGTATTACTTCCATTGGTTACCACAAAGCAATCATTGCCCACTTATTTGCCCCAGAATTCAGTTCAACATTTTCACTGCTCTGCTTTAAATCCCACAGTCATTCTCTTATACCAGTCAGATGTTCAAACTCTTCCAGGATTTACCATCAACTTGTCTCATTTTCCCTCTTTATTCTCCAGTCTAGCCTTATACTTCCCCATCTTCTCCTCTGCCAGCATTTGCTCAGCTGTGCATGTCCCACCTTACCCTCCATACCAGGAGTCAGCAACGTGGATCAGCTTTGTGAGCCCTGCAGGCGTGTCCCGGCTCCACACTGCCACCGGCACCATGGCTGCCATGAATATGCTTCTTTTAATTTCTTTAAACCATTTAAACATGCAAAACCCAGTTTGTTAAAAGAATACAAGCACCATGGCGATTGCTTCAGTACCTGGAATGCTTGAAGGGTCTGGATTTGAGCCCATTTCAATCATGTCCCAGCTCTGTAACCTTAAGCATACTGATTATCTCTGGGAGCCTCAGGTTCCTTATCTGTAAGGGAGGCATAATAATAGTACCTACCTCAAAGAGTTCTTATAAGGGCTAAATAAAGAATGCACATGGAGGGCTTAACTCCATGCCTGACACAATGAAACCCTTTGATAAATGTTGGCTATAAAATGTTTATTACCTAGAAGTTGTGGTAGTAAGTTATAATGCCACAGAGCATTTCTGTGGTTCTCCAAAGTTAGCCTGGTCTAGCCAAAGCACAGTTATGGTGATCTTAAAATACAGGACTAGCCCAGCCAGTGTGGCTCAGTGGTTGAGCATCGAACCATGCACCAAGAGGTCACTGGATCAATTCCCAGTCAGGGCATATGCCCAGGTTATGGGCCTAATCCTCAGTAGGGGGCATGCAGGAGGCAGCCAATCAATGTTCTCTCTCATTGATATTTCTATCTCTCCCTCTCCTCTCTCTCTAAAATCAATACAGAAAAAAAATTTTTGAAAAGAAATACAGGACTAGAACTTAACGCACCGAAACCGAAGTAGTAACAGCTAGTTCACTGATCCCTTGGGCTCCTTTCAAAAGGGAAGTCTTGCCCTGGCCAGTTTGGCTCAGTGGTTAGAGTGTCGGCCTGTGGTCCGGAGAGACCCGGGTTCGGTTCCCGCTAAGGGCACGTACTTCGGTTGCAGTTTGTCCCCGGCCCTGGTTGGTCGTGCTGGTGGCAGCCACTCGATGTGTCCCTTCACATCGATGTTTCTCTCTCTCTCCTTCCTCTCTCTCCCTCCCACTCTATCTGTACAAAAAATGGAAAAATATCCTCGGGTGAGGATAAAAAAAACAAAAACAAAAGGGAAGTCTTAACCAAGCTTTTCATGGTTGCTATATTGAAGACAGTTCAATATCAAAGATTCTAAAGGGTTTCTTTCTTTTTTATCATTTTAATTAGTTACCAGGTGTGCAGGTGACAAATTTTATACACTGGTGGATGATTATAGGAGTCTAGCTTCTAACCCACCCAGTCTAGAGGGCTAGCTCATTGTTAAATAAGGATACAATTTTCCCCCAAAAAAAACTTCTAATATATTCAAGACCTTAATAATCACTATAGTAATTTGATCTCAGAGTTTTATTCTTGAAGGCATAAATGAAGTTAATATCTTTTGCTTAAAGCAGATGTGTCTTCTTTCAAATTTCAGTTCTATCATTGATAAGTTGGGATACCTTGGGCAAACCATTTGACCTTCTAAGCCTTCACTGTATTGCCTATAAATAGAAATATGGTTTTATGCCTTGGCCAGTGTGGTTCAGTGGTTAGAGCATTGCCCCATACATCTCATGGAATTTTTGAGGACACAGTGGAATAATCTATGTGAAGTATTTAGCCTATGTCTGGCATGTGGTAAGCAGCCAATACATGATAGTGGTAGCTGTGTTTTTTAAACTGGTGATGGGTGTTCACACAACTTTTACGCTGTGCTCCTGCCCGGTCCCCACAGCGTGCTGATGAGCCGACACTGCCAGCAGATGCAGCCTGACAATGTCTCACGGCTTGTCTTTGCAGCTGGCTCCTGGGTTACCAAGAGGACGTCTCCGATAACCAGTGTGTGTTAGAAGAAGGTCTCTATGCTGACCTTACTTCCTGTGGCTGCCCGACATCTGCAGTCAGATCCCTCAAGCCTATTGACTATGTAAGTGCTTTGCTGAAAGCATAATTGTTAGACCTTTTCTTGTCCACTTTAATTACCATGAATGAGAATGGGAAGTTGGAAGAAACGATACATGGGCAGATATAAAAATATGAATAATTTAATTGTGGGATGTTTTCAAAATGTCTGGTTATGGTGATTCCCTGGGAGCATAAATTAATTTAATTTAATTGTGTAAAGTTGAGAATCACTCATGAAGTTCAACTAAAATGTCACATTGATATTTTCCTTTTTTTTTTTTTTGAGCAGGAATGCTAACTCGGGAACTAGAGTAACATAGGCCTAGGTTTAAATCCATTTGATACTTTAACCAGTTTGGGTGACATTGACAGAGTTGTTTAATTTCCTCATCTGTAAAAGATAACGACTTTATAAGGACCCTGGGATATTAAATAAGATGATGCTTGTAAAGTGCCCAGTGCATGGTGAGCATTTGATAAGTTGAGCTATTAATATCATGGTTATAATTGTTATAGCTACTTAAGAAAAATAATTGATCCTTTTATTATTAGATAAATCATATCATTTTCCTGCTATTCGGGTTTACAGTGTTACTTTAGGTCATGGCCCATTACTGGTATGAATTTCAAACTTTGTTTTGGGGAGAACTAGGGCTTTCCCGCCTGGAGTGTACAGAATTAACTAGGTCACCTTGTAGGCCCACATTTTACAGTAGGTGGTTTCTCCCTTCTATCATATTTACTCAGAATTTTAAACATGAGAAAAACAGGATCACTGCTCTGGGACATCAGTTCCGTTAGCAGGGTCTATGCAAAGGAAATAGTGAGGCTCTGGGATGTTTCCAAAATGTCTGGTTATGGTGATTCCCTGGGAGCATGTGGTCACAGCCGTGCACAGTGGCAGGAGTCACTCAGACCTTTCAGCCAGAGTTAACATCAGGGGTGATGGCCATTCAGGATCTTTGATCCCAAACTAAGCAATGTGGTCTTATTTCACAGGGCATTCCTGGATAGAGTATTCTTGGTATCAGGCTAAGAATAGAGTCTTGGCTGCAAAACAAGAATAGAAATAGAATCCTTGGTCTCTCTCAGTGACCATTTCGACACCAGCTTGGAAAGCCTAAGTGGCTACTGATGGCTTCCTGTCTGTGGAAGGGTAATGGATAGAGAGAAAAAACACAGTCTGGTCATTTGTTCCAATCATTGATAAGTCTGAAAGGCTGCAAAGTAATCCACACCCCTGTGTCCTCCCTGAGGGATTGATGTGCCGCTTGCCCTGCATTTGCTGGTGCCGTGCCCTGTGCCCAGTCCAGTGCAACTCTGCGGTCCTTCGGGGAAGTGTTTCTGTCCCCTTGAGTTGACTTACATATATATGAGCTAATCCTTTGATTTTGCTTTTATGAAAGTTGAAACTGTAGAATCGGAGAGTGTTGCCTGTGTATAGCTGGCATTCCCCGACATGCTGTGACTTACTGCTGAAGAGAAATAATGGTATAGTTGTGAGGAGTCTTAAGATTTTATCTTTATACATATCAGTATGTCTGTGGTGACACTTTGCTCCAGGCTGATTTTTATATGTGCGGACATGTGACAGTCCAGAGGTCCCTGGGTACGTCATTTGCAGTATTTCTACAGTGAAGAATGCTGGGAGCATGGTTTATAATTTTGCTTCTCACTAATGTGACCTTGGGCAAATCAAAGTTTTTGGACTCAGTTAACTCATATGTAAATAAACTGTTAGGACAAGTATTTTTAAATCTTTGACAGCCTCCAGCTTTGTTGCAAATAAGTATTTGGGGAATATTTCTAAGTGGAAATGAAAAAGAATGTATCCATCCTTAGGGCTGACATGGTCAGAGGGAGTACATTGGTGTGAGCTTTCATTAAGGTTCTGCTGTAGAACTGTCCCCAGAACAGCAGGTTGGGAGCTGGAGGTGGGTAGGAAACCTAAATAAAAAGTGTTAGCACTGGCCTAGCAGTGTTTGGGGTAACCTGTTTTATCATGTTTCCATGGGAGGAGCAGTCCACACATTGGTGTCTCCATGGTGGCTTGGCATGGAAATGGGCCTCCTTTGAAGTATAATGATCCAGCCCTGGCAGCTGTGAGCAGCACAGCAAAATAAATGTCAGAACAAGGGGCTGAGAAAAAACTTCAAGCGAAATTATGACGGTGATGACATAAATGATCTTAAGAAGGTGGCACTGGCAGTTCGTTCAGTGCAGGAGCTGTGAAGAGAAGACTCTAAGCACAGAGTGAAAGCAGCAGTGAGTGTGTAAAGGCTGGAAGAGTTTGGTTACTATTAAATTTTCAGCCCAGCCCACATATACTTACTAGCCTATCTACGACAGATCCTTTATTAGGGTTAATATGAATTTTTTAAAAGTGACAGAGCGCAAGATAAATATCAAACCATAGGATACTTAGGATTAAATCTAATACAAGGCAAGTAAGTCCTATATGGGGAAAATTATAAAAGCTTTATTGAGAGACATAAAAGATGGAGGAATATAAATTTTTATAGGATGAAAAGACTCAATATTGTAAAGTTGTGGTCTTCCCTCAAATTAATATAATTTCAGGCAGAATGCTCACAGAAACTTTTGTCTTTTGTTTTTAGAGGGTAGTAAAACATGATAAGCTTAGCTTAAAATTAATTTGAAAAAAATAGGGGACCAAGCTAGCCAAGATATTAAGAACAATAGGTGGATCAAATGTCCTACCAAACACAGTTCATCATACAGCTGATAACCGAGATCCTGGGTGCTGGTACCGGAGACACAGACAGCAGTGGAACAGGACAGCACAGGAGATTGACCCACATCAGTCGTGGAACTGGGACATGACAGAAACAGCATTACCATGGGGCTGTTGAAACAATTGGCCCTTTACATGGAAGAAAAAGATTGTTTAGAATCTTGCTTTACTTCAAATACAAAAATAAGTTCCAGATGGATTAATGGCAGCCTAAATGTGAAAAACAAACTTTAAAACTTAGAAGAAAGCACAGGAAGCCACCCTGATGATGCTGTAGTAAGTAGGATGGATCAATCACAAATGTACAAGTCAGCAAAAGGTGAGCATGTTCATGTCCTGTTGCTGCTGCTACAGATGAGTGCGAGCTGTGGTTTAACAGCACAAGCGCCTCCCAGCTCTGGAGGCCGGAAGTCTGAAAGGGTCTTACTGGGGTAAAGTTAAGGTGCGGGCAGGACTGCATTCCTTCTGGAAGATGCTGCTGGGGCTCCCTCTCCAGACCTTTGCCAGTTTCTAGAGGTCCCTCCCCAGTATTCCTTGGCTCCAGGCCCTCTTCAAAGTGCATCATTCACTTCTCTCTGTCTTCTATCTCTGACCCTTGTATTAGGCCTATTTGGATAATTCAGACTAATATTTCCACCTCAAGATTCTTAACTCTTAATAACATCTGCAAAGTCCCTTGACCATGTCCAGTAACATACCCACAGGTTTCAGGGATTAGGATGTGGGGTGAGAGAATATGAATTATTCGGCCTCCCACAGCCACAGACTAGGAGAAGATATCTGCATCCCTTCTAACCTGCAGAAGTTTAGTGTACAGAATATAAAAATAGCTTTTCCCATTCAGTTGAGAAAAAAGAAAAACCTGTTTCCAAATTCGACAGACTATGAATAGGCAGTTCATAGAAGAGAGAAAAAAAATGGCTGAGGACTTTCAGAGTGTGCTAAACCTCACTAGTGATAAAGTAAATGCAAATTAAAACCATCATTGGGTCACATGACCTTATTTTAGATACAAACATTCGAAAATCTGACAACACCAAGGTAGGATTTAGTGGCAGAGAGGTGGGATTATTCATTCACAGCCCGCGGAAGGAGCGTCAGTTATGATGGAGGAGGAAAAGTAGGGGTGTTTGCTGCCCCGCTGATGGATGGAACAAACTGCAGCACATCCCTATAAGGAAATGCAACACAGTAGTTACAATGAGAGGAGCTGAGCTGCGTGTGTTGCTAAAGGATGTTGCAGCAAGAGAAATGTGGCCAGTAAGGTACATTTCTGTGAAATTGAAAACAAAGGATGCATAGTCATTAGTAAAGTATAAAAACGTGAGCTGGAAAGAGTCACAACTTCAGCATAGTGGTTACCCCTAGGGAGAGAGGGGAATTAAAATTCAGCGACACTTGTTAGGTTTTACTTATTTATACAGTTTTATACAACTATAGTAAAAGTAAAGTGTATTATTTTTAGGGGCTGGATACATGATCATCTATATATTATTTAGTCTTTTTGAAATGTATCATAACTTTTTTTTAAAAAAAAGAGGGAAAAGGAAGACTGTTAGAAACATAGCGCTACAATGAAACTGATTTTCTAAGCCAAATGAGAGGCTGTGTGTGGAGGGTCACAGTCCACGGCCTAGAGTCTGGTCTGGGAGTCTGACAGACCCATTTGTTAGCCGAGTAACCAGGGCACGCTTCTGACAGCTCTAAGCCTTAACTCTCTCTTCTAATAAAATGTCGATTAAATGAGCTATTGCATGTTAAGCCTTTAGCACAGGATGATGCATTCACTATTGTAAAGCACATAGACAATAATTAGAATCTGTTGTGCAACATCAAGATTTGATAGGCTGAAAGTGTTTTAAACAGGCCACATAACTTTTTTTTTTTTTTCCAGAACACTGTTTGGTATTTCTCTGGAATGGAATGGTATTTGAAGTATACATTATGATAACTTTCCTTGAATTCAGTTCATGTGCTCTCAGTTTTTTAGCCATGGCTCATTTAGCAAAGACGGGGGTGAAATGATGCTGTTGGGCTGTACAGTTATGGCTCTTAGGGCCGGTTGCTATATAGTTGTAAAATATTATAGCATGTTACTTCTGGAATCTAAACAACTACTGTAACCCTGAGCTACTTTCGGCACCTTTATCATACAAGCGGTGATTTGAAACTCGGAGAACTACACAATGCCGAAGTCCAAGTCTCTGTAGTTTTTAAATGTCAAAAATTAGTACTTAGATTTAAAACTTTTATCTAATTATGTTGAA